ACTTGGTTCCACTCCTACCCACCCCCGAGCATGTCACTTGGTTCCACTCCTACCCACCTCCGAGCATGTCACTTGGTTCCACTCCTACCCACCCCCCTAGCATGTCACTTGGTTCCACTCCTACCCCACCTCCGAGCATGTCACTTGGTTCCACTCCTACCCACCCCGAGCATGTCACTTGGTTCCACTCCTACCCACCCCCGAGCATGTCACTTGGTTCCACTCCTACCCACCTCCGAGCATGTCACTTGGTTCCACTCCTACCCACCTCCGAGCATGTCACTTGGTTCCACTCCTACCCACCCCCGAGCATGTCACTTGGTTCCACTCCTACCCACCTCCGAGCATGTCACTTGGTTCCACTCCTACCCACCTCCGAGCATGTCACTTGGTTCCACTCCTGCCCACCTCCGAGCATGTCACTTGGTTCCACTCCTACCCACCCCCGAGCATGTCACTTGGTTCCACTCCTACCCACCTCCGGCATGTCACTTGGTTCCACTCCTACCCACCTCCGAGCATGTCACTTGGTTCCACTCCTACCCACCTCCGAGCATGTCACTTGGTTCCACTCCTACCCACCTCCGAGCATGTCACTTGGTTCCACTCCTACCCACCCCCGAGCATGTCACTTGGTTCCACTCCTACCCACCTCCGAGCATGTCACTTGGTTCCACTCCTACCCACCTCCGAGCATGTCACTTGGTTCCACTCCTACCCACCTCCGAGCATGTCACTTGGTTCCACTCCTACCCACCTCCGAGCATGTCACTTGGTTTCCACTCCTACCCACCTCCGAGCATGTCACTTGGTTCCACTCCTACCCACCTCCGAGCATGTCACTTGGTTCCACTCCTACCCACCTCCGAGCATGTCACTTGGTTCCACTCCTACCCACCTCCGAGCATGTCACTTGGTTCCACTCCTACCCACCTCCGAGCATGTCACTTGGTTCCACTCCTACCCACCTCCGAGCATGTCACTTGGTTCCACTCCTACCCACCTCCGAGCATGTCACTTGGTTTCCACTCCTACCCCACCTCCCAGTCAGGGGTGTATTTACCACAAGGCAAACAAGGCACTTGCCTAGGGCGGCATTTTTCAGGGGGGCAGCACCTCCCCCTAGAAGAAGCGATAAAAGAAGGGACACGTGCTCAATGGGAACCAGGTGGGATTCAAGAGAGGCTGAGGGCTGTTTGATGGTGTATGTAGAGCCTGGCTCTCGCTCCCAGGGATGTCCAGAGCCGTGAAGGTGAGTGTCTCTCTATCGTTGGGGAGGTAGTGGAAGGTTCGTTTTTGGTCAGTGTCATTCTATATCTGCGGGAGATGGTAGGGGGGGTTGTGTTGGTCAGTGTCTCCATGTGGGCATATGGTTTTCGCATTGCCTAGGGCAGCACAAAACCTAAATACACCACTGCTCCCAGCACCTCTCTTTTTAGAGACTACAGAGCCAAGTATAATTTTGTGCTGCTAAATAATTTGGATGAAATGTATTCATGATAACAAGAAAAGCAGAAAAATAGATCCCCAGCAGCCAGCAGCAGTAGACCCCCCCCAGCAACAATAGATTCCTACAGGAACAATGGACCCCCAAAACAAAATACCACCCCAGCAACAATAGATCCCCAGCAGCTACAACAGATCCCCCCGGGGCCCCCAGGGGCCAGCATCAATGGACTCTCCATCAGCCAGCAACAATAGACCCCTCCCTCAACAGCAGATTCCAACTGACCCTCATCAACAACAGACCTCCCCAATTCTACCATTGTTTCCTTCACGCGAAACCTGGAACTGACTGCGCTGGTGTACCGGGTCCATTTGAGTGCATGGAAAACACTTTGTATGCATTTCTGATGATGCAAAAAGGCTCCAGACAGCATCTGGACATGGAACAGTTAAAAAACACTTCTAAACACAAACGCTTATAAACGCGGTTAGCCGCGTTTACAAGCATTTACAAGTATTTTGCTTTTGAAACGTTGATAAAAATCTACTCCTCAATGCAAGTTTGGTGCGTTCGAAAAAACAACTGTAAACTCAACTGCCTGTAAATGACGATGTGTACACGGACACATAGGAAAACATTAGGGAGAGTTCAGGGGCTGCTAAAATAAAACGCAGAAAAGCTCCTGAACGTGAGTTTATCAGCTGCAGTGTACATGGACCCTTAGTGACTTAATGGCAGCGACTCCAGTTATGATTCAGACGAGTCAAATAACCGGGAGATTAAAGTATCACTAAAAAAAAATTTCAAGCACAAACGCGTATAAATGCGTTTAGCCGCGTTTACAAGCGTTTGGCATTTGAACAGCTGATAAAATCTACTTCTGAATGCAAGTTTTCTGCGTTAAAAAAAACGACTGTAAACTCAACTGCCTGTAAATGAAGATGTGTACACGGACACATAGGAAAACATTAGGGAGAGTTTAGGGGCTGCTGAAAAAAATGCAGAAAAGCTCCTGAATGTGAGTTTATCAGCCGCAGTGTACATGAGACCTTAGTGACTTAATGGCAGCAACTCCAGTTATGATTCATACGGGTCAAATAACCGGGAGATTAAAGTATCACTAAAAAAAAATTTCAAACACAAACGCGTATAAATGTGTTTACAAGCGTTTACAAGCGTTTGGCATTTGAACAGCTGATAAAATCTACTTCTGAACGCAAGTTTTCTGCGTTAAAAAAAACGACTTTAAACTCAACTGCCTGTAAATGACGATGTGTACACGGACACATAGGAGAACATTAGGGAGAGTTTAGGGGCTGCTGTAAAAAAACGCAGAAAAGCTCCTAAACGTGCGTTTATCAGCTGCAGTTTACATGAGACCTTAGTGACTTAATGGCAGCGACTCCAGTTATGATTCAGATGAGTGAAATAACCGGAGCTTAATGTATCACTAAAAACATTTGCAAACGATTAAAAACACGTTTAGCCGCGTTTACAGTTATGATTCAGATGAGTCAAATAACCGGGAGATTAAAGTATCACTAAAAAAAAAAAATTTTCAAACACAAACTCGTATAAACGCGTTTAGCCGTGTATAAACTGCTTAGCCGCGTTTACAAGCGTTTGGCATTTGAACAGCTGATAAAATCTACTTCTGAATGCAATTTTCCTGCGCTAAAAAAAAATGACTGTAAACTCAACTGCCTGTAAACGATGATGTGTACACGGACACAGAGGAAAACATTAGGGAGAGTTTAGGGGCTGCTGAAAAAAAATGCTGACCAGCTCCTGAACGTGAGTTTATCAGCTGCCGTGTACATGAACCCTTAGTGACTTAATGGCAGCAACTCCAATTATGATTCAGACGGGTCAAATAACCGGAAGCTTAATGTATCACTAAAAACATTTGCAAACGCTTAGAAACACATTTAGCCGCGTTTACAAACGTTTGAAAAGCTGCTAAAATCTACTTCTGAACGCAGGTTTTCTGCGTTAAAAAAAAGACTGTAAACCCAACTGCCTGTAAATGACGATGTGTACACGGACACATAGGAAAACATTAGGGAGAGTTCAGGGGCTGCTAAAAAAAACGCAGAAAAGCTCCTAAACGTGCGTTTATCAACTGCAGTGTAAAGGCAAAACTTTTTTTTTTTTTGGATAGATTGGGTTTAGAACGGCTGTCAGGTTTTTAATAGTTCCTCTATAAAGTAAAATTGTTGGCGATCTGTTTTTTTTTTTTTTTTACATCACGCGGACGCATAGAGCGCAATTCATAACATTCCCATCCAGCTGCCGGCTTCCTTCTCTCTGGTCTTTACTGCTAATTACATAATGTCCCTAATTTATGCCCGCTGGCAAATTAGATCACATCAGATTACCTACAGGGCAGCCTGTAATTACAGCGAGCGCTGAACAAATTGTTTGCGGCGCTTCCTCGGCGAGATGAAATAGCGGCTCGCGCGCGTGCGTGTGAATGTGCGCGCCCAGCTTCTCCCCTCCGCCAGACCCTGAACATTAGAAGTAAAACTTTCGCAGCCAAGCCGATCAATTAGCGCTTCATCTCCCTAGGAGGTCCGAAAAATTTTCATCCCCGCGAGGCAGAACACAAAGGCAACATTGTCACATTCGCAGATTTCGGAGGCGACGGAGTTACAGAGTTAAGACACCATCCAGCGCCACCGAAAAGAAAAAAAAAATAAAAGGATTCAAACAGGGGCGGACTGACAACTCATGGGGCCCCCGGGCAAAAGGGGATCATGGGGCCCCTGTGTCCTTGCCCAAACTCAAAAAAGCCTATGAAAAAGGTACCAGGGGCATCTCATGGGGCCCCCTACTGACTCCGGGCCCTCGGCAGTGCCCGAGTTTCCAAATGGTCAGTCCGCCCCTGGATTCAAATAAGGGCCGGTTCACAGCAGAACGCGTCGCTGGAAAGGCGCATTCCATGCGTGTTTTCTCGCACTGTGCTCGAATGCACTGCCCCTGCGATCTGCTGCGGCTGCCAATATAATATCAACAGCAGCCCAGATGGAGATCACAAACTCAGTGCATGTGCGGGCATTGAATTCAGGGCCCTCTTAACAGCATCATCGGCCCCGGGCAACGCAATGCACTGGGGCCCCAACAGGGGTGGACTGACAACTCATGGGGCTCCCTGGGCAATAGGGGATCATGGGGCCCCTGTGTCCTTGCCCACACTCAAAAAAGCCTATAAAAAAGGTACCAGGGGCATTTCATGGGGCCCCCTACTGACCCCGGGCCCTCAGTTAGTGCCTGAGAGCTCGAATGGTCAGTCCGCCCCTGGGCCCCAACCAGCCTGGCCTGCACCTACTCTCAAGAATAAAAGTATAAATAGTTGATAGAATTAAATATATATTTATTAGCACTTTCAATAAAATAGATTTGAAACAATCGGAAAACATGCAATAAATCAAAGACTAATCAACACAAAGGGCACAATACGGGGGATGGGGGAGGCAGAATGGCACAGTACATGGGGGGGGGGAGTCAGGAGGGCACAATAATGGGATCAGGAGTACACAGTACAGGTGCCAGGCAGGGGCGGACTGACAACTCATGGGGCCCCCGGGCAATAGGGGATCATGGGGCCCCTGTGTCCTTTCCCAACTCAAAAAAGCCTATGAAAAAGGTACCAGGGGCATCTCATGGGGCCCCCTACTGACCCCGGACCCTCGGGCAGTGCCCGAGTTTCTAAATGGTCAGTCCGCCCCTGGTGCCAGGACATCCCGGGACAGCTTAATAAAAAGCATGACTATCCCAACAAATCTGTTTTATTTATTTATTAATTGTTTATTTATTTTTGGCTTAGTACCTGCCCCCCAGGTCAGTGCCCGGCCCCCAATGCCAATTGTTTCATAATCCCTAGCCTAGAAAATAGCCAAGAAAATGGATATTACTGACCTTACAGATTCTGCTCCCATTGATTTCATTGGGGTTCGGATTTAGTATCGGTGAACCTCACTCGAACCACCCAGGTACGTTTGACCCCCTTCTTTTTCCTTCTCCCTCTTTCCTCTGCCCCTTTCTTTTCTTTCTGTAGTGGAACCAGTGGCGTCCCTAGGGGGGTGAGGGCCTCACTGGGTGACACCATCACGGAGGGTGCAGGAGCAGGATGCCGGCACAGTGACAGCTGCCCCCGCCCCGGTGTAGCGGTAAAATGAGTAACCCCTGAAGCAACTGCACATGTGCCGGTTTCAGGCTGAAGAAGCCGATCGCTGGCTCTGTGCTAAAGTCGGAGATCGGCTTCTTCCGCCTGAAACCGGTACATACGCAGTTGCTTCAGGGGATATATATCTTCAAGGGATACTCATTTTACCGCTACACCGGCACCACTCCTTCCTCTCTGGAGGGGTGACACCACGTGTTACCGCACCGGGTGACACCAACCCTAGGGACGCCTCTGAGTGGAACCAGGTCTATTGTTCTCCCTGCAGGGTTACATCTGATTGGGGACAAGTGGAGGGGGCTTTGGATGTGGACTCTCACCCAAGACCATATTCTGGGTGGGTACTGTTGCCCCACATCACCGTTCATGTTGACATGTGAGTGTTACGGGAGTCACTTTGGGTGGGGGGCCCATGGAATCCAGCTCATTTTGGAGAGGTGGGGGGACCCCTGTCTCAGCTCCCCATATCCCTATTATGTTTAAGTCACCCTGTGCCTGTTAGGGGTACAGAGTGATCTGTCCGAATATTGGAGTGGGGGGGTTGTTGATTGTTTAGTGCCATGTGGTTGCATCCCATTGTTCTATTGTGTTTCTTACTTGGGAGCAAATTATTATGGGATGTATGTGTTTATGTGTATTGGCTTGGTGGGGGGTGTCTCCAGCCGCCCTCCCTCCTGGTGGGACTGTCTGCTGGTGTGAAGTTTGAATACCTGTGTGTCTCTTGTAGCTAAGTATAGATTGCCCCGCCCTGTGTCATTATGCAGGGAGGGGGGTCTGTCCCCTGAGTATAAAAAGCCAGTTCGAGTTTCAAATAAAGAGCTCCATGTTCAGACAGACTGGTGTCTTACATAGCAGTGAGTGTGCGGAGAATAATTTCTGCAAGGTATATTATGTTTTATGTAACATTGTATTTGTATGACTGATGATCTCTATGTATATCTTCCAGTTAGGGCATCTGATTTCTTTGCCTCCAGTTTTGGGGTCCTGAAGAAGCTAATAAGCGAAACGCGTCGATCTCTGGAAGATATTGAAGCCACAAAACATTATGCTGTGATCTTTCGGGCTCACTAGCCAAGTACTGTTTTTATACAATGTGTTTGGAAGATGTATTTCAATAAACATGTTTTATGTGCAACATGAGGTTGTCCGCTTTATGTACCAGTAAAGTCCCATCGGGTTTTTGTTTCTTTTTGCCAGGTGCGTTTGACTCATCACCAGGGGCGGACTGACCATTCGAGCACTCAGGCACTGCCCGAGGGCTGGGGTCAGTGGGGGGCCCCATGAGATGCCCCTGGTACCTTTTGTAGGCTTTTTGGGTGTGTTTTGAGAGTGTGAGCAAGGACACAGGGACCCCATGATCCCCTAGTGCCCGGGGTCCCCATGAGTTGTCAGTCCGCCCCTGCTCATCACTTCTCTAAATGCATACTAAAAAAAGGTTTGACGGTGTTAATGTGAAGGAGACATACTGTAACCCCAGCCAGGAATGCGTTGTGGTGCGTTGCATTAGAAAGTCCATTCCTGCCAGTCTACAAGCTTGGATGAAGGTCCATTATTGATTTTTTGGTGGTTTTTGATCTTTGCATGGGGTTCCCCTGAATGGCCTCTTATGGAGTTTGTGGGAGCTCATGCTTTTTTTTTTCTTTTGCATGGGGTCTCCTTTAACATTAACACCTGAGGGGCCATTTTTTTACCTATTCCCAATGCTTTTGCTTACATACAAGAAACAGGAACAAATAGGCTCCCAGCAGCCTTTAAATCATCTGAACAAAAAGGAAAAAAATGGCTAAAAAGCCACATCAGCCAAAAGCATGTTAGTACCTCTACTATTATTTATTGTACTTATATAGCACCATCAATTTACACAGCGCTTTACACATACAGTATATGTATTGTACATATATGGATGACTTCGCTGCCTGGCTTCCCTTCTTCCTCTCCTCTGAGCTATCAACCATCATCCTCGGGGACATCAATATCCCCATCAATGACAACAGCCCGGCTACTTCCCAACTCCTCCACCTAACCTCCTCCTTCGCGCTCACACAGCACACTCAAATCCTCCACCCACATCATTGGGAACACCCTGGACCTCGTCTTCTCCCACCTCTGTACCCTCATCCAGTTCTCTAACACCCCCTTCCCTCTCTCCGACCACCACCTCCTCACGTTCTCCATCTCCCCTTCCCCTAACTCCCCCCCCCCAGAGCGCCAAACCATCACCAGCCGCAACCTCCGCAACCTGAACCCGGCCCCCCTCCACTCAGCTGCCGACCGCCTACACGACAGCATCCTTCCACTGTCTTGTCCTGACCTAGCCACTAACACGTACAACGACTCACTATCAGCTACCCTAGACTCTCTGGCACCCCTAACCACACGCTACATCAAACCCAGATCGCTCCAACCATGGCAGAACGACCACACTAAATGCCTCAAACGTCGCAGTCGCGCGCTAGAGAGACTATGGCGCAAAACCAGGTCCCCCCGTTCATTCTCCCTCTACAAATCTGCCTTCCTCACTTACACCTCCTCCCTCCACGCCGCCAAGCAGGCTTACTTCGTAAACCTGATTAACACCCTCTCCACCTGCCCTCGCCGACTCTTCTCCACCTTCAACTCCCTGCTCTCCCCCCCCCCCCCCTCCTCCACTCAGTACCTCACTCACCGCCCACGAAATTGCCACTCATTTCCACAACAAGATTGATGCAATCCGTCAGGACATAGTCAACTCGCAATCTACCTCCCCACCTAGCCTCCCCCCCCCCTATCTCCCCCTCATCTCTTCCCTCCTCTGACCTCGCAACCGCACTGCCCCCCTCCACACCCAAGACCCCGCTTACCGTAACCCCACCAGCTCTGCACTCCTTCAGCCCCGCTACCACTGAGGAAGTCACCAGGGTCTTCTCAGAAGCCCGCCTCACTACCTGGACCCTATCCCCTCTCGACTCCTCCAGTCACCCCCCTCTTCCCTCATCTGCTCCCTCACCCACATCTTCAATCTCTCCCTCTCTACCGGCGTATTCCCCTCCCCCCTAAAGCATGCGCACATCACCCCCATACTCAAAAAGCCCTCCCTGGACCCCTCTGACCCAAACAACCTCAGACCCATCTCCCTGCTGCCACTCACTTCCAAACTCCTGGAGCGCTTAGTCTACAACCGCCTAAGCGCCCACCTAACTGACAACAACCTCCTTGATCCACTACAGTCCGGCTTCCGTCCCCTACACTCCACCGAAAACGCCCTCCTCAAAATCACCAACGACCTACTAACCGCCAAAGCCAAAGGCGACTACTCTGTCCTCCTCCTCCTGGACCTCTCCGCGGCCTTCAACACAGTTGACCACCCCCTCCTCCTTAATAAACTACTCTCCCTTGGCATCAGAGACACCGCTCTCTCCTGGTTCTCCTCTTACCTATCCCGACGCTCCTTCAGCGTTTCCTACAATGGTGCCACCTCCCCTTCCCTCCCCCTCTCTGTTGGGGTCCCCCAGGGCTCTGTCCTTGGACCCTTTCTCTTCTCCATCTACACCTCCTCCCTTGGCAAACTCATACACTCCCACGGCTTCAACTACCACCTCTACGCTGATGACACTCAAATTTACCTCTCCACCCCCCACCTCACCTCCACTTTCTCCGCCCGCTCCACCTCTGCCACCCCCCCTCTGCCTCTCCCTCCACTGGCTCCCTATCGCCCAACGCATCAAATTCAAACTACTCACTCTGACCTACAAAGCCATTCACAACACTGCCCCTAACTACCTCACCGACCTGATTCCCAAGTACCACCCTACCCGTACCCTTCGCTCTTCACAGGACCTCCTTCTATCTTGCTCCCTGGTCTCCTCCTCACACGCACGTCTGCAAGACTTCTCCAGGTCCTCCCCCATCCTCTGGAACTCACTACCCCAATCCATCAGACTGTCACCTTCCCTCCTCACCTTCAGGCGCTCCCTGAAAACCCACCTCTTCAGGGAAGCCTACCCCACCCTCACCTAACTGCTGCCCTCCTTCATTCCTCCTACCACTCCATCCCCCACAGCCACTTCCTCCTGTACCACTACCCCCCCCCTCCCAGATTGTAAGCTCGAAAGAGTAGGGCCCTCTTACCCCTCGTGTGCTGTTTGTAGTTGCTGTAATGTTTCATGTATTGTCCCCCCCTCTATTGTACAGCGCTGAGCAAACCCTTTGGCTCTATATAAACTCAATGTAATGTAATGTAATGTAATGTACATTCACATCAGTCCCTAACCCTCAAGGGGCGTACAATCTAAGGTCCCTAACCCTCAAGGGGCGTACAATCTAAGGTCCCTAACCCTCAAGGGGCGTACAATCTAAGGTCCCTAACCCTCAAGGGGCGCACAATCTAAGGTCCCTAACCCTCAAGGGGCGTACAATCTAAGGTCCCTAACCCTCAAGGGGCGTACAATCTAAGGTCCCTAACCCTCAAGGTGTGTACAATCTAAGGTCCCTAACCCTCAAGGGGCGTACAATCTAAGGTCCCTAACCCTCAAGGGGTGTACAATCTAAGGTCCCTAACCCTCAAGGGGTGTACAATCTAAGGTCCCTAACCCTCAAGGGGGTACAATCTAAGGTCCCTAACCCTCAAGGGGCATACAATCTAAGGTCCCTAACCCTCAAGGGGTGTACAATCTAAGGTCCCTAACCCTCAAGGGGCGCACAATCTAAGGTCCCTAACCCTCAAGGGCGTACAATCTAAGGTCCCTAACCCTCAAGGGGCGTACAATCTAAGGTCCCTAACCCTCAAGGGGCGTACAATCTAAGGTCCCTAACCCTCAAGGGGCGTACAATCTAAGGTCCCTAACTCACATTCATACATACACATACTAGGGACAATTTAGACAGGAGCCAATTAAACTACCAGCATGTCTTTGGAGTATGGGAGGAAACCCGCACAGGCACAGGGAGTACATGCAAACTCCAGGCAGGTGGTGCTGTGGTTGCGATTTGAGCCAAAGACTCTAGTATTGCCAGGTGGAAGTGCTAACCATTTAGCCACTGTGCTGCCCATACTATGCTTTGTATGTAGGCCGGAGAAGAAATAAAAGACGTATAGGAGATTGGAGACTGGGGGCATTTTTTTTCTCTTTGCTTACATTGAATTCCCAGCTAATGGGGCTGGCTTATGATGCTGGTTGTCAAGGACTCAGCAGTGCCTGCACCTGCTGGTGTCCTTAATAACCATTGACGGTACAAAGTTGTCATGTATAATTGAGGAGGTAATGCTGCTATTATAAATGATGCTCTGCTCCCACCCAATGGGTAAATTTGTGTTGGGACTTAAGCGCAGTATACACGTTGAGAATATCGGACAAACAGTGGCGTAGCTAGAACCTTCAAGGACCCTGCGCAAGAAACCATGAAGGGCTCCCCTGACCCTCCCTCCGAGCCCATTGGCGGAATGCCAAGGCCTGGTTTCAAGTGTGACCTTTGTGACCCAGGTAGTTCCACCACTGGTGTTAGTATTTTTTTTCATTTTCACAATTTTTTTTAAGAGAGCCCCTGTTGGGGGTTTCTCAGGTGAGGGAAAGGAAAAGGGAAAAGGGAAAAAGAAAAGGAGGAAAAGGAAATTCATTCACAGTGAAGTAGCAGGCTGCTCCTTTCTTCTCCCTGGGCGTCAAACTTCCTGTGGGCAGGGCAGATATAGGAGCAGAGAGAGGGGCAGGAGAAGCAGAAGCAACTCATCTCCTGTCCGTGGGCGGAGGAACTGTCAGCACTAACTCTCTCAGCCCTTGTTCAGCATACAGAGGAATCCATCTCATGTTATCCAGCTGAATGCCTCCGTCTCCTCCTCTTCCACAGGCATTCTGCAGCTACAGGAAGAACATGGAAAGATCTGTTCCTCTACATGCAGTCTCCTCCACTGCTCCTCCCATCCAGACATACAGGGGCTACACGGGTCCCCTTCAGAATGGGGCCAAGTCACAGTTGCGACCCCTGCGACCCCTGTAGTTACGCCCCTGCAGACAAATGATCATCTGGGGGTTTTTTTTCGCATTCTAGTCTGACATTGAAAGTGAAGAGGTTACTAAAGTTACAAAAATTCTGAATAAAAATTTGAACATAATGTTTTTTTTTATTGTAATGTATTTGTATTGTATTTTCAGATGAAAACTGAACCAGTTAAACGAATATTGTATGATCTGGTATCATACGGCAAAAATCTTTGTGCTTGTCCCTTTGAGTAATTTCGGACAATTGCTGTACACTATTGATCAGAATATTGCACGATCACTTTGAAAGCAGCATTTTTCATACTACCTTCTGATCGTGTATACAGAGCTTTACCCTTCAGCTCATCCCCAGTCATCAGAACAGGTACTGTATCCCCATTGGAAGATTTCCACTGTATTCCTGTTCTGGTGAGAAGTCACGTAATATCAGGGTGTGTTCTTGTAGGACTTTTTTTCTTTGATGTGAGCTCACGATGTCCTTATATTAAATGATAAATCTCTCCCTTCCCACTGTAGAATTTAGGTTGGTCTTTTCTTGGCTCAGATCACACTCTCTTTAGTGGTCAATGTGGTTCTTCTGCATACCGGGGCGGACCGGCCATTTGGAAACTTGGGCACTGCCCGAGGGCCCGGGGTCAGTAGGGGGCCCCATGAGATGCCCCTGGTACCTTTTTCATAGGCTTTTTTGAGTTTGGGCAAGGACACAGGGGCCCCATGATCCCTTATTGCCCGGGGCCACATGAGTTGTCAGTCTGCCCCTGTCTGCATGTACCCTTAAATTTCTGGTTCCAACTCAACCCTTGGGGATCCCAAAATGTAAGGTGAATTATAGCTTTGCTGCCAGTCATGACATGCCAACACCAAGCTGGGCACAGGTAGCAAGCATTCCTTTGCCTCCTTTAGATCCTCTTATCTCTGCAGTGAAACTTCCATTGTTGTGTCACATTTTTCACATCAAATCTGTGATGTGAATGACTCACAAGACAAATATGTGAAGCCTCCAGGACTCAGGACACAAAATTCCATTGATCTAGTGAATGATGGATGGTCATTATACAAAGGGGCCTATTTATGACAAAATAATAGCTCTTTGTCTCTCCCAATATCACCGGACTGCTGCAAAATCTCTGACACGGTTCCTCTGGTTAGTGAAAGTTTGGGTTGGAGAGTTAAGCTGGGTACACACTATAAGGAAATTAGAAGACAAATTCCATACAAGGACCGATCAGGAAGATGATCAAATATTTTTCTTGATTTTTTATCCTGGTGCTAATCCATGGCAGCATACTACTACCACATGCATGCCGCCATTTTGGCAACAGAAAAATAGAAAATTGTATCAAATACTTGCCCCAATTTTCCTTTGTTGGTGTCAATTATTGGCAGCATATTATCCCATGTACAGTATTTTTGCCATGTTGGCATCAGGAAATGTAAAGTATTAAATATTTACCGTAATTTTCCTTTGTTGGTGTCAATTATTGGCAGCATATTATCCCATGTAAGTATTTTGCCATGTTGGCATCAGGAAATGTAAAGTATTAAATATTGACCGTAATTTTCCTTTGTTGGTGTCAATTATTCGCAGCATATTATCCCATGTACAGTTTCCTGTTGGCATCAGGAAATGTAAAGTCCGTAATTTTCCTTTGTTGGTGTCAATTATTGGCAGCATATTATCCCATGTACAGTATTTTGCCATGTTGGCATCAGGAAATGTAAAGTATTAAATATTTACCGTAATTTTCCTTTGTTGGTGTCAATTATTGCAGCATATTATCCCATGTACAGTATTTTGCCATGTTGGCATCAGGAAATGTAAAGTATTAAATATTTACCGTAATTTTCCTTTGTTGGTGTCAATTATTGGCAGCATATTATCCCATGTACAGTATTTTGCCATGTTGGCATCAAGAAATGTAAAGTATTAAATATTGACCGTAATTTTCCTTTGTTGGTGTCAATTATTCGCAGCATATTATCCCATGTACAGTATTTTGCCATGTTGGCATCAGGAAATGTAAAGTATTGAAATATTTACCGAGTAATTTTCCTTTGTTGGTGTCAATTATTGGCAGCATATATTATCCCATGTACAGTATTTTGCCATGTTGGCATCAGGAAATGTAAAGTATTAAATATTTACCGTAATTTTCCTTTGTTGGTGTCAAGTTATTCGCAGCATATTATCCCATGTACAGTATTTTGCCATGTTGGCATCAGGAAATGTAAAGTATTAAATATTTACCGTAATTTTCCTTTGTTGGTGTCAATTATTTGCAGCATATTATCCCATGTACAGTATTTTGCCATGTTGGCATCAGGAAATGTAAAGTATTAAATATTTTACCGTAATTTTCCTTTGTTGGTGTCAATTATTTGCAGCATATTACATGTACAGTATTTTGCCATGTTGGCATCAAGAAATGTAAAGTATTAAATATGGTAATTTTCCTTTGTTGGTGTCAATTATTTGCAGCATATTATCCCATGTACAGTATTTTGCCATGTTGGCATCAGGAAATGTAAAGTATTAAATATTTACCAATTTTCCTTTGTTGGTCAATTATCAGCATATTATACCCATACAGTATTTTGCCATGTTGGCATCAGGAAATGTAAAGTATTAAATATTTACCCGTAATTTTCCTTTGATGGTGTCAATTATTGGCAGCAATTATCCCATGTACAGTATTTTGCCAGTTGGCATCAAGAAATGTAAAGTATTAAATATGACAATTTTCCTTTCCTGGTGCCAACCCATAGCAAATAAATGTAGTAGTTCACTGACAAGGGTTGCACAGTAAAAAATGTTATCACGGAAAATACAGTACATAAAAAAGGAATGGAGAAACTGCCTGTTTTTTTTTTTTTTTACATTTTTGCCTTTTTATCAATTGTGATCTTTAGCAGAAATAAGCTGCAATGTCCTCGAAGACTATCATTCGTCACTCACACACCAGAGCTGTGGACTGACCATCATAGGATTTGGCCTACACAGTCCTGAGGATTATGGGTGTTAGAAACCTGAGGATTTGGTGAGGAAATGAGGGTGTTACATTCTCAGTAATGTGATTCTTATCTGCAATATACAGAAATTACCTCCAATTAGTGGATTATTTTGGATTTTAAATCTTTGCTCACATTTTTTCCTTTGCTAAAGTAACACGGTAATCATTGGTTTAAAATATACACTGGAGTTAAAATATGTACAGAGACTGCACTGATGAGGGCCAATAAACTAGAAACATCCAAATGCAAATTGGTTAAATGGCTCTGTAATTAGGTTGTGTACATAATAAACCAGAGGCTGTGTGCAGTTGGATAAATGGTTCTATATTTAGGATGTATCCGGTCTATAAACCAGAGGCACTGGATGGACAGTTGGATAAATGGCTCTATATTTAGGATGTATCTGGTCTATAAACCAGAGGCTCTGGATGGACAGTTGGATAAATGGCTCTATATTTAGGATGTATCTGGTCTATAAACCAGAGGCTCTGGATGGACAGTTGGATAAATGGTTCTATATTTAGGATGTATCCGGTCTATAAACCAGAGGTTCTGGATGGATAGTTGGATACATGGTTCTATATTTAGGATGTATCCGGTCTATAAACCAGAGGCTCTGGATGGACAGTTGGATAAATGGCTCTATGTTTAGGATGTATCCGGCCTATAAACCAGAGGCTCTGGATGGACAGTTGGATAAATGGCTCTATATTTAGGATGTATCCGGTCTATAAACCAGAGGCGCTGGATGGACAGTTGGATAAATGGCTCTATATTTAGGATGCATCTGGTCTATAAACCAGATATCAGACATATCTCAGTAGCTCCATTTCTAGGTGCCATCCCACCTGAGGGTGGTGCACCCTGCATTTTGAATCCATCCCACCTAACGGTGGTGCACCCTGCATTTTAGATCCATCCCACCTAATGGTGGTGCACCCTGCATTTTAGATCCATCCCACCTGATGGTGGTGCACCCTGCATTTTACAGTCATTTTACCTAAGGGTGGTGCACCCCACATTTTATATCCGTCCTACCTGAGGGTAGTTGAGCCCTTATTCTACATCCATCCCACCTAAGGGTGGTGCACTCCACATTTTACATTCATCCTGCCTAAGGGTGGTGCACCCTACATTTTACATTCATCCAATCTGAGGGTGGTGCACCCTGTATTTTAGATCCATGCCTCCTGAGGGTGGTGCACCTTGAATTTTAGATCCATCCCTCCTGAGGGTGGTGCACTTTGAATTTAAGATCCATCCCTCCTGAAGGTGGTGCAACCTACATTTTAGATCCATCCCACCTGAAAGTAGTGCACGCACCCTACATTTTACATTCATCCCACCTACGGATGATGCACCCTACATTTTAGATCCATCCCACCTAAGGGTGGTGCACCCTATATGTTACAGCCACTCCACCTAAGAATGGTGCACCCCACATTTTGCATTCATCCTGCCTAAGGGTGGTGAACCCTACATTTCACATTCATTCCACCTGAGGGTGGTGCACCCTGTATTTTAGATCCATGCCTCCTGAGGGTGGTGCACCTTGAATTTTAGATCCATCCCTCCTGAGGGTGGTGCACTTTGAATTTAAGATCCATCCCTCCTGAAGGTGGTGCAACCTACATTTTAGATCCATCCCACCTGAAAGTAGTGCACGCACCCTACATTTTACATTCATCCCACCTACGGATGATGCACCCTACATTTTAGATCCATCCCACCTAAGGGTGGTGCACCCTATATGTTACATCCACTCCACCTAAGAATGGTGCACCCCACATTTTGCATTCATCCTGCCTAAGGGTGGTGAACCCTACATTTCACATTCATTCCACCTGAGGGTGGTGCACCCTGTATTTTAGATCCATCCCACCTGAGAGTGGTGCACTCTACATTTTAGATCCTTCTCACCTAAAAGTGGTGCATGTACCCTACATTTGACATTTATCCCACCTAAGGATGGTGCACTCTACATTTCACAATCATCCTACCTAAGGATGGTGCACCCTGCATGTTACAAGCATTCCACCTAAGGATGGTGCACCCTGCATGTTACAAGCATTCCACCTAAGGATGGTGCACCCTACATTTTACATTCATTACACCTAAGGATGATACACCCTACATTTTACAGCCATCTCGCCTAAGGGTGGTGCACCCCACACTTTACATTCTTCCTGCCTAACGGTGGTGAACCCCACATTTTACAGCTATCCTACCTAAGGGTGGTGTACCTCACATTTTACAGCCATCCCGCCCAGGGGCAGACTGACCATTTGGAAACTCGGGCACTGCCCGAGGGCCCGGGGTCAGTAGGGGGCCCCATGAGATGCCCCTGGTACCTTTTTTCATAGGCTTTTTGAGTTTTGGCAAGGACACAGGGGCCCCATGATCCCCTATTACCCGGGGGCCCCATGATCCCCTATTACCCGGGGGCCCCATGAGTTGTCAGTCCGCCCCTCCCTGGTACCTTTTTTATAGGCTTTTTTGAGTGTGGGCAAGGACACAGGGGCCCCATGATCCCCTATTACCCGGGGGCCCCATGAGTTGTCAGTCCGCCCCTGATCCCGCCTAAGGGTGATGAACCCCACATTTTACAGCCATCCTGCCTAAAGGTGCTGCACCCACTCTTGTTCCTGATACATCAGAACACCAGGCTCTGAAGAGAGCATCCAGGGCCATGACAGTGCTTCTCAAGTGCTGCTCTAGTACCCTTCTACATTACTCCATGGTCATGGTGGGGCACTTTCTTGGCGTCAAGACACTTCCATTCAGCAAGCACCTGCTGTTCATGGAATGGCGCACAGACCTCTGGGGCATTGTCTGCACATCTCTGGTGAGTCAGGTGCTGTTGAATGATGATTGTCAGAGCTTCACTTACCTCTATTGGCCACTTTTGATACAATCAGCTCTTAGAATATTCTTTTGCAAACGATCATCAATCAGGATAAACCTGACAATGACTGCACCTCCCTATCATACAATTAGCAATAGGCGCTCCCACCAGGCCGCGTTCCTCTCACATCTGCAGTGTGGTGCTGCTGTCAATTACTCGGCACACTCCGCAGATCGGTTTAAGTCATGCCAAGTCGCTGATTAGATTATGCCACGCTGAAAGATCGCCTTCACGCTGGCACTTGTACAAGCCACACCAGCTTGATGGTCAAATGAGCCACATTAAAGCCTCGGGGCCCCAGATGCTTTCCACTTAAATAATCTGATGACATGAGAAGGCCGCGGACGCCTGCTCAGGCGATACGAAGTTTACAGAATGGAATCAGGAACAGACTGTGAAGCAAATGAGCCGGAATTTCCCAACTTTTATCTCCCGATGGTAAGAATTGAGGTTAACGGAGTCAGGGGCGGACTGACAACTCATGGGGCCCCCGGGCAATAGGGGATCATGGGGCCCCTGCAGGGGCGGACTGACAACTCATGGGGCCCCCGGGCAATAGGGGATCATGGGGCCCCTGCAGGGGCGGACTGACAACTCATGGGGCCCCCGGGCAATAGGGATCATGGGGCCCCTGTGTCCTTGAGCAAACTCAAAAAAGCCTATGAAAAAGGTACCAGGGGCATCTCATGGGGCCCCCTACTTACCCCGGGCCCTCGGGCAGTGCCCGAGTTTCTAAATGGTCAGTCCGCCCCTGAACGGAGACACCCCCACTGCTGTGGCCCCAATCTAAAGGGGGGGGGGGTCTGGTTAGAAGAGAAAAATAGAGAACATCAGCACACATTTTTTTACATTTTTTTTTTTGGTGTTTAACCACTTCAATTCTGGACACTTTCACCCCAGGGGCGGACTGACAACTCATGGGGCCCCCGGGCAATAGGGGATCATGGGGCCCCAGTGTCCTTGCCCAAGCTCAAAAAAGCCTATGAAAAAAGGTACCAGGGGCATCTCATGGGGCTCCCCACTGACCCCCGGGCCCTCGGGCAGGGCCCGAGTTTCTAAATGGTCAGTCTGCCCCTGAACGGAGACACGCCCACCGCTGTGGCCCCAATCTAAAGGGGGGGGGGGGGTCTGGTTAGAAGAGAAAAATAGAGAACATCAGCACACATTTTTTTACATTTTTTTTTTTTGGTGTTTAACCACTTCAAGTCTGGACACTTTCACCCCAGGGGCAGACTGACAACTCATGGGGCCCCCCCGGCAATAGAGGATCATGGGGCCCCTGTGTCCTTGCCTAAACTCAAAAAAGCCTATGAAAAAAGGTACCAGGGGCATCTCATGGGGCCCCCTACTGACCCCGGGCCCTCAGGCAGTACCCGAGTTTCCAAATGGTCAGTCCGCCCGTTTCACCGCCTTCCTGTCCAGGCCAATTTTCATCTTTCAGCGCTATCACACTTTGAATGACAATTGCGCGGTCATGCAACACTGTACCTGTATGAGTTTTTTTAGCATTTTTGAGACAGATAAAGCTTTATTTTGGTGGTATTTATTCACCACTGGGTGAATTTTTATTTTTTTTGCTATATAAATGAAAAAGTCTAAAACATTATTAAAAAAGTGTTTTTCTTATAAAATTTTGCAAATAAATAATTTTTCTTCATAAATCTTATTCAGTTATCTTTTTAGTAAAAAAAAAAAATAACCCAAATTAGTTTATAACCAAAAATTATAATTTTTCAAAACATTTTTTTACATTTTTATTTTATTTTTTTATATTATTATTTATGGGTTTTTTTTTTAGCATACTGTCACCCTAGCAGTACAGTGTCTCCATAGTGACACTGTACTACTTGTGGGGGGGTGATAAAGATTTTTTATTTTTTTTGTTACACTGATTGCTTCTACGCCCATAAAGGCTGTATAAGCAATCATTTCTCCTTCTCTCTAGCTGCATTCTTGCAGCCATTGATAAATGCTGTGAGAGCTGTGATTGGTCACAGCTTGTCACATGGTACAAGGCTGTTGTGAATAGCCCTGTACCATGTGACCTCTGTGATCATTCATAGATTTCACATTTAGTAAGCAATGATGTCAGAAGTGACATCTTGCTTACTACTCTTCATGTGATCACTGATTGGGACCCTTTCCAAAAAACGCACCGGGTGTAAACGCGGAGATGTGAACCTGTCCCATAGGAAATCATGTTAAATGGACTGCTGTGCGTTTCTGCAAAACGGTGCAGAAAATGCTTAGGTGTGAACCTAGGATTAGACAGGAAGTGGCTGCGAAGAGGCTGCAGGGGATTATCAGCACTGAGATGCAGCAGATTGCATTCAGTCTAGGTTCACAACTATGCAGGTTGCGTTTGACATCTTTCTGCTGCATTTTTGATGCGTTTTGCTTTTATTTTTATATTTTTTCTTGTTGCTAGGCAGATTTTAAACACAAAACACATCAAAAGCGTGGCAAAACCACAATAAATGCTTTTCTGCAGAGTTTCCATTGAAGTCTATTGAACCAAAAACGCAACATTTTGCGTTCAAAAAAGTCCCTGACCCTTTCTAAAAAACGCACCGGGTGTAAACGCGGAGATGTGAACCTGTCCCATAGGAAATCGTGTTAAATGGACTGTACTGCGTTTCTGCAAAATGCTGCAGAAAACGTTTAGGTGTGAACCTAGGATTAGACAGGAAGTGGCTGCGAAGAGGCTGCAGGGGATTATCAGCACTGAGATGTAGCGGATTGCATTCAGTCTAGGTTCACAACTATGCAGGTTGTGTTTGATACCTTTACTGCTGCGTTTTGCTTTTTTTTCTTGTTGCTAGGCAGATTTTAAAAACACAACACATCAAAAAAAAAAAGCAAAACCGCAATACATGTTTTTCTGCAGAGTTCCCATTGAAGTCTATAGGACGAAAAATGCAACATTTTGCGTTCAAAAAAGTCCCTGACCCTTTCCAAAAAACGCACCGGGTGTAAATGCAGAGATGTGAACCTGTCCCATAGGAAATCGTGTTAAATGGACTGTACTGCGTTTCTGCAAAACGCTGCAGAAAACGTTTAGGTGTGAACCTAGGATTAGACAGGAAGTGGCTGCGAAGAGGCTGCAGGGGATTATGAGACTGAGATGCACCAGATTGCATTCAGTCTAGGTTCTCACCTATGCAGATTGCGTTTCTGCTGTATTTTTGATGCGATTTGCTGGGTTTTTTTTTCCTGTTGCTAGGCAGATTTTAAACGTAAAACACATCAAAAACGTGGCAAAAACGCAATACATGCTTTCCAACAGCATTCCCATTGAAGTCAATAGAACCAAAAACACTGAGATGCAGCGGATTGCATGTAGACAGGAAGTGGCTACAAAGAGGCTGCAGGGGATCAGCACTGAGAAAAAGAATGAAAGAAATATGAAAACAGGATTTTATTTTTTTTTTTTCTTCAAAGTAAACAGCAAATCTTCTAAAAGATATTCAGATGGATAGGAAAACAGCCAGTAAATGAGCAGTCACAGCTTCTACCAAGGCGCAGACATCGTCGTCCTAATAATGGATGCCTAACGTGGGAATTCGGATTATTGTTCGGCTCACTTTGCACCTCGGTGAATAAAATCCCTCGATGGCATCTCAGCGGCAGCTTGGAAATTGCAGGCTGCTCATTTAGACACGGCAAACAGCAGGTGGTGAAACGTATGAAAATATTTATAGATCCTAACAAGCAAATTAGAGAACAGAAACACACGTGGCATTATTTGCTGTAATTTGGGTTTAATTGTTGCCTTGGGGGAAAGAATTTCCAAACTTGCAGAAACGTCGACTTGTCTTGTCACCTATTCTTCATCCATATTCAGAAAGGGATCCGAGAGGAGACGGAGCGGAGTCTGCAGGAATCGGCGGCGGGGTGCCAAACCACGGGGCCCCTCTGGAAAGATTGCTGATTTATACTGTTCTTTTTTTTTTTTTTCTGTTGACTTGAATTATTTATTTATTTCAGGTACTTATATAGTGCCATTCATTTTACACAGTGCTTTACACACACTATATTGCTGAAAGTACTGGGCCCGCCCTCCAAATCATTGGATTCAGGTGTTCCAATCAGGGGCGGACTGACAACTCATGAGGCCCCCGGGCAACAGGGGATCATGGGGCCCCTGTGTCCTTGCCCAAACTCAAAAAAACCTATAAAAAAGGTACCAGGGGCATCTCATGGGGCCCCCTACTGACCCCGGGGGCCCTCGGGCAGTGCCCGGGTTTCCAAATGGTCAGTCCGCCCCTATTGCCAAAAGTATTGGGCCAGCCCTCCAAATCATGTGATTCAGGTGTTCCAATCCCCTCAATGGACACAGGTGTATACAATCAAGCCCCTAGGCATGCAGACTGCTTTTACAAACATTGGTGAAAGAATGGGTCGCTCTCAGGAGCTCAGTGACTCCAAGCGTGGTCCCGTGATAGGTGGTCACCTGGGCAATAAGTCCATCCGTGACATTTCCTGGCTACTAAATATTCCACGCTCAACTGTTAGTGGGATTATAACAAAGTGGTGCATTTAGATTTTGTGGTGCCCCCCCCCGCAGAGAGAGCCTGACATTGACTAGCAACACCCCTGACTTCCACCCAAGAGAGCCTTCCAGGGGCGCACTTGGAATCATGGAGTG